TTTTCATCCTTCCCCCTCATCCCATCCCTCCCTGCCCTTGTCCCAAGCCCCTCCCCAGCTTTCCTGGAGCCCCTTCAGGCACTGGAAGCTGCTCTAAGGTCTCCCTGGAGCCTTCTCTTCTCCAGGCTCAACACCCCAACTCTCCCAGCCTGGCTCCAGAGCAGAGCTGCTCCATCCAGGATCATCAACCGGATGCTCCTCTGGACCCACGTGAGCAGGTCCACATGTTTCCTTATTGGACATACATCCAGGTCATGGACAGACACAATCAGGGATGCCTTGGCAGATCCCTCAGCTCCTACCTGCAGCAGAGGCCTCTGCACACCCAGGACCTTCATGGTATCTGCATTAGCCAGTATTTTCAGGGGATCAGATGCCTTGGTGACACCTTCAATCTCTTTATTGATCTCAGCCAGGACCTGGTTGAGGAAGATGTTCTTGATGTACATGGTGAGGAACTCGCGGAGCGGACACTGCTTGGTGGGGCCCAGCTCCATGGCATGCTCTATCTCCTGGATGAATCTGGGAAACAGAAGGGGAAAAAACACCATGTCATGACTTGAAATGCTTTAGTGTTGCCTCGGCCATTCCTCCAGCTCAGAGCCAAGCACCAGCTGTGGAGGAACAGCTACAGCCTGCACCAACGCGGGGCATGAGGAGGGTAGAGCAGCCTACAAACCCCCCCCCACACACATTAAATGCCAACAGCTGGTGAGACCAACCCTTCACAGCTGGAGAAGAACAGACCCAATGGGGAATTGGTGAAAATCTACAACCTGGGCATGATTTGTGATTATTTCTCCAAAAAAACACTGGCTGCTCTACTGGAGACAGACTGGAAAAACCTCTTTTTTTAAAAAAAATACAACTCCCACACAACATTCAGGATGCCAGAAAGCCCTTGGAGAAGGCCAACTTCCTTCTGGTGCTGGCCACTTGATGCCCACAGGTGGGTTCCTCATCTCTAAAATGAACAGCAGGATATTCCAGCTTAAAAGCCTAGAGACATGGGCTGAAAAAAGCAATGCATATGCATTATGTGGAGATCATACTGCATTATGCATGTCTGTATGATGCTATATTTTTATTGTAAGTTATTGTTTCATCCCAGGATCCCATTCCTGCATACTCAGAACAGCATGCTGGTTCTGGGAATATTTTAACCCAAAATGCTTGCCATCTCCTCCTGCAAAATATCTTTATCTCAGTGAGGCCATCTGTTTAACACATAGGAGGTTCTTCCAGAAATTCTTCTTCCTTTCAAAATTGTACGTACCAAAATGATTGGAAAATGAGGATCTGGAGGTATAATCATTGAACCACAGAATGGCTGGGTTAAAAGGGACCTGAAAGATCATCTAGATCCAACCCCCCTGCATGGGCAGGGACACCTCCCACCAGAGCAGGCTGCTCCAAGCCCCATCCAACCTGCCCTTCAACACTGCCAGGGATGGGGCAGCCACAGCTTCTCTGGGCAACCTGGGCCAGGGTCTCACCACCCTCAGTGTAAAAAATGTCTTCTTTGTATCCAGTTTAAATCTCCCTTCCTTCAGTTTAAAACCATCATCCATCACTCACCACAATCCCTGGCAAAAAGTTTCTACCCATCTTTCTTACAGGCCCCCTTAAAGTATTGAAAGGCTGCTATGAAGTATCCCCAGAGCCTTTTCTTCTCCAGGGTGAACACCTCCAACTCCCTCAGCCTTGTCTCCATATAGAGGTGTTCCACCTCACTGACCAGTTTTATGGCTCCAGCAGGTCCATCCTCTTCATCAATGCATGCAAGTGCCTCATCCTTTACAGTTTCATCTCTCCATATAGAGGTGTTCCACCTCACTGACCCTTTTTATGGCTCTAGCAGGTCCATCCTCTTCATGCAAGTGCCTTACTATCTTTTACAGTTTCATTTCACTCCTGGACAGGCTGGGATTGCTTTAATCATTGCTTTACAGAGCAGCAGCAGAATCAAGTACTTGCCTTTGGATCTCCCAAAATAAACAGCAACACCCTCTGCACCCTGAAGGCCACCTCTTCCTCACTAAGAAAGCCTCTTTTTGCAATTCAGACATCTTCAACAGTCCCAGTGTGCTTAGCATTTATTAGAGGTGCCTTCCTACTAACCATTACCCCAAGACTTCAATGAGGTCTCCTTAATTGCCTCTTAATTTACTTCCTCCATGTCCAGCACCCCAGAGGAGGCTGAACTTCAGAGGACTGACTGAGGAGCTCCTGTTGATTTTAGCAGCAGGATTTCCTTCAGATCTCAACAATTTGCTCCATAAAGCCTCTGTGGTGTTGACTCCATCAGTCTGGAGTGACCCATCTGGGCTGATGCAGCTCATGTTCCTGTGCAGGGACCCATTTGCAGTTCTATTTGCAGATTGCCTCTCCAAAGAGAGATGTGGCACAGAGAGAAGAGCAAAGGGTGGCAGTTTGATCCCTTGGCTTTCACAGATGGATAATGTGAATGGGCTTTATCAAAGAGGGCAACAGTGGAGTCATCTGGGAAGACAGCAGAGACACCACAAAAAAACAGGCCTCGTGTCACAGAATTGTCATAGCTGGAAAAGACCTCTGAGATCACCAAGTCCAATTGTCCACCCAGGAGGAAAAAAACCAACCACAAAGAAAACCAGCAAAAAACTCCCAAATAAACAAAACCAACCCAACCAACCCCAAAGAAAACACACCAACCAAACAACACAACTACAGCCACCACACCCATTACAGCATGTCCTGAACTGCCATGTCTAGATGTTTCTTGAAAACCTCCAGGCACGGTGACTCCACCACCTTCCTGGGCAGCCTGATCCAGTGACTGACAACTCTTTCAATTAATAAATTCTTCCTAATAGACTAGCTGGTCTAAACCTCCCCTGGTGCAGCTTCAGGCTATTTCCTCTAGTCCTGTTGTTGTTCATTTGGGAGAAGAGGCCAAATCCCACCTCCCTACAACCAGGCTGTGGAGAGCAGTGAGGTCTCCCCTTCAGCCTCCTCTTCCCCAAACTAAACAATCCCAGTTCCCTCAGCCTCTCCTCACAGGACATCATCTCTAGGTCCTTCACCAGCTTCATGTGATGACCACTTGTGATGGCCATAAGGCCTGAAGGCCATTGCCCTAAGGACACTGTGACAAAGTTGATGGGGCCATATTCAACTTGCCATATCTTCTCATGTCTGCCAAGAAATTTGCCATTCTTCCTTTATCAGCTCATTTACACAGCACTTTTGATGCACAGAGCTCTCCAAAAAAATAACAACAGTGAATTCTCTTCCAACATCTGCCCCATGCAGCCAAACACCATGATTCCTCTTCTGGATGGGAAAGGGGAGGCAGAGCAGAGTGAATTTGAAAGGAGCAGCTTTCAGTGAAGTGAAGGGAACAGCTTGAAACACTTTCAAATCCAGCACAGGCTTAAAAATGGCTGAACCAAGAGACATGGAAAAAAAAACCAACCCACCCAACTTCTAGAAGGAGAATGGCTGTGTAGAAACTAGCAGCAAACTCTTAGAGCTCAGAAGTGCTGACCTACAGCAACTCCTTATTCCACAATAGCTTGATGGTGTTTCTAAGTGTTTCCTACACCAGAAACTAAATTGCTGGTGTGAGGCTTTAGGAAAGGTCAGTGCAAGTGAAAGGGGTAATAAAGGATTTTTGATTCCCAGTACCTGGCATTAATCACCACTTCAAATCTCTCCTAAAGCCTTGTGCCTTAATCTCCAGCAAACTTTACCTTGATGAGAGAACTAACTCCTGGTGCTTGACATGTCATAATAAGCTTTAATTTCTTGGCATAAACCAGACAACAATGCTTGGATTATTGCTGGGAAGGATCACAAATATTTCCCTATTTTACTTGACACAAACCATAAAGCAATCACAGGCACAAGCAGGCTGCTAGATAGCAGGGTCTCTGAGAGGGGATTTTGTGAGTGCTCAGCAACACTTGTGATAAAGAACAAAATGATCAAGAGCTTAGGAAAGCAGATTTAAAGTTGATATCAAGAAAAAGCTATTAAGAATGAAACTGCACAGCATGGAGGACTAGATGACACGGATGAGAGACCTTAAGTTTGAATGTTCAAGGATAGCTTGATTAAATGATAATGGTAATGAAAAATAGACTATCTCTGAAGTCTTCATTAATCAGAAAATCTCCACCAAAGGAAATGGAAGCAGAGAAAAGGTAAAGAAAAATGTATTATGGATGTCAGGGCTTCTAGTGGAGTAGGGAACAGCTCTAAGAGTTCATAAACTTGATACTCCAATGGTACAAGAACATCACCACTTAGTCCAGCCTAAAAGAAGGATGACTGGGGTACCATTTACTATGAACTGCTGTGGTTCAAGGATGACCTCACCATGTCTTCACTGGCCAGGATAAGTCCCACATCTGCAAATGAAGCACCTGAGGAAACCACTGTGTAACTCCAACCTTCACCCCACCAAGAGGAAACACAGGAGCGAGGTGTCCAAGAAAGCACCACGAGGCTCCAGACAGAGATGGAGGGCAGATTTGCACCAAGAAGCCTTCTAGCACGTTACATGGTGCACCCCACGTGTTGTCTATTGGGAGGATTATTCAGAATGCCATTAAAAACAGATTGATCTCATGGGAAATGTTAATTTTCTGTATTTCTTAAGTCAAACACTGACAAGTTTGGAAAAGCAATGATTGGAGTTGCTTGTGTCACCTAAATTTGGCCTGCTGGGCATGACATTGTGGTATAATTTCATAGAATCATGGAATCATTAAGGTTGGAAAGGACCTTAAAGATCACCAAGTTCCAACCCCCCTGCCATGAGCAGGGAACCACTAGACCAGGTTGCACAAAACCTCCTCCAACCTGGCCTTAAAAACCTCCAGGGATGGGGCATCAACAACCTCCCATGGCAACCCATCCCAGTTCCTCACCACCCTTAGAGTGAAGAATTTCTTCCTCATATCTCACCTAAATCTCCCCTCTCTCAGTTTAAAACCATCACCCTTTGTCCCATCACTGTCTCCTCTGATGAAAAGCCCCTCGGGGCTGTCGGCAACATTTCCAAGCTTCCTTCTTCCTGCCTTCTCATTTCTTCCATCTCCCTTCTGATGGTGGGAATCCAGCCCCCAGTTCTCTTCTTTTGCCTTGTTCATCCTACGTTCCTCCCTTCTCCTTGGCACTTGAATCAAGAAGCATCCTCCTCCAGGCAGCTGGAGCCCAACAGGTCCAGGAGCCCAACAAACCCTGCAAGGGGACCAGCACCTTGGTGAGGTCTTTGCCCTTGACTTGGTCCTGGTTAACTCTGGGCAGAATTATGCCCAGCAGGAGCTTCAACTGCTCCAAACTGGAAGCCTCTTAGGAGAGCAAGAGCACTACCCTTCCTCAAAGGTGTGTCACTAAGCCAAACTCTGGTGTATTTTCAGGGGGGTGGCAAAAGGCACATCCTGCCCACAACACTTCTTCTCACTGAGAGATGTGAAGATGCAGATTTCCAGCCAAAGAAAAGGTCACTGGAATTTGCCAACATGCACCATGTA